ACCAAGACTTCGACCAAGACTTCGTCAACGTCAACGTCCAAGAATACGACCAAGCCTACGACGACCAAGCCTATGTGAACGACAACTTCCCTGGTGAGCTCGTCCTTTCAATTTTCCTTTTCCTTTTCCTTCAATTTACTAAATTTCTCTTTTTTTCCTTGGTTTGTGAAGTGGCAGGAGCGGCGGAGGGAGCGGGAGCGGGAGGAAAACCATCATTCCGTGGTAAGCTCGTCGTTCCTGTTTAACATATTTTTTCCTTCACGTTTACTAACTTTCTCTTTTTTCCCCTGGTTTGTGAAGGGGCAGGAGCGCGGAGGGAGCTGGAGCGGGAGAAAGAACAACACCTTCCGTGGTAAGCTCGTCGTTCCAGTTAACTTCTTTTATTCCTTCACGTTTACTTACTTTCTCTTTTTTTTCCTTGGTTGGTGAAGTGGCAGGAGCGCGGAGGGAACGGGAGCGCGGGGGAGGAACAACACCTTCCGTGGTAAGCTCGTCGTTCCAGTTGAGCTTCTTGTTCCTTCACGTTTACTTACTACTTTCTCTTGTTTTTTCCTTTGTTTGTGAAGTGGCAGGAGCGCGGATCCGCGCGGATCCTCGAGGGAGCGGGAGCGCGGAGGAGGAACAACACCCTTCCCTGGTATGCTCGTCGTTCCAGTTAACATATTTTTTTCATTCACATTTACTAACTTCCTCTTGTTTTTCCTTGGTTTGTGAAGCTGGAGCTGGTGGGAGCTGGAGCGGAATCGGGAGCGGCGGGAGCACGAGCGGGAGCTTCTATCAGGTGATATCGTCCATTCAGCTTTTGTGTGTGGTTTGGAATTCACTAACGTCTCTCTTTGGTGTCTTTGGCTCTGCTGCAGGAAATAAGTCGAGAGGAGGGAGACGCGGAGGCGCGACGAATCGAAGTCGGCGGAGCGATGGACGAGCGGCGGGTTGATTGACGGACGAGCGGCGGAGCGGGAAACGGCGGACGGAAGAGCGGCAGCGCGGAGGAGCGGCGGTGCGAGGCGCTGGAGTTTGACTCCCCTTTTCCCCCTTCCCCGTTCCCCTTTTCAAGGGGATGGCGGGAGCACCAGCAGTGAATGGTTTGTAGGTTGGGGAGGTACAGGTGGGCTAGCTAGGCACGTGTAGGCGAGTAGGAGCGTTACTGTAGATCAGAGAGAAGGTTGGGCGCGGTAAGGTGTGTTTGGGCGCGATCAGGTGTGTTTGGGAACGGATCTGGTCCCGATGTGTTTGGATTCCCTTGATCTAATCCTGCCCGCGGGCAGTAAACTAACCTTCCCTCTCCTCTTTTTCCAAGAAAACTGCCCCCCCCCCTCCCAAACAGGGTCCCGCACGAATGACCTCCACCTCAACGCGGTGTGCGGGTGTAACGCTAGAGGCTTTTGCCTCTAGCGGCCAAGAGGGGTCAAATTCAAGACAAAGTTCGGGCGGTTCAACACTTCAAGCGGTTCAACTCTTCAAGCGGTTCAACACTTCAAGCGGTTCAACTCTTCAAGCGGTTCAACACTTCAAGCGGTTCAACTCTTCAAGCGGTTCAACTCTTCCAGCGGTTTAACACTTCAAGCAGTTCAACTCTTTGAAGCAGCTCAACTCGTGAAGCGACTCATCACTTGGCCGTACTGTACGGACAGAGCAGTTCAACGCTTGGAGCTAAGCCGAACGGCTGGCGTTCTGCCGAGGAAGTTGGTTGAAGAGTTTTAGGAGCTTAGCGATGCTTCGTGACTTGTATGATATGTAAATTTATATAATAGTTACCACCCTGGAATCAAGGATGCGAATTTGTTCTCCAAGTTAGTTCGAACGATTGATGCGAGATGCTTCTTTGTCATAGTTATTTTCTCTAATCCATCTCTTCAGTCTCTGTTATGGTAGATTTGAGATCTAAGCGCTTCACCGTCAGTTCTTGTTTTTCCTCCCTCGCGGCTTCACGTATCTGACCGCAAGTTACTGCTTAGCACCGCAGATGGCGGTAGTCGCTGTTATCAGCCGTATATTGATTTTCGCCGCTTCAGGTAGTGAACCAAATACCGCCAGTTGCGCACAGTAGCCAGTAGCACGCGTTTTTTAAATCGATGCATTGCGGAACGTCGATTCGCGGGGACTACAGTACCATTCGCGGACACAATACTAGCATCGATTTGCACCACATTAATTGGAGGGGAGGAGAAGGGGGGAAGGGGGGAAAGGAGGGGGGGGAGGGGGGTTGGGGGGGGCATGTTCCAACTGTCTCTGCTCTTCGCTCGTCTCCACCCGCTCTCGACTCATCTTCCCGCTCCCCTTCATTTTCTCCCGATCTTCTCTCGCCCTCCTCTGCTCTCCACTTATGTCACCTCCGCTCCCCTTTTCTCCTCTCCCGCCCACCCCTCATCACCCTCTCCACTTATGCCCTCGTCCTCATCACCCCATTTCATCTCCATTCCCCATCCGATCATGTCCAGCCGTACATACCCCTCATTATACAACCCCTCATCCCCTCCCCTTCCCACTCGCCTCACAGCCCCCCCTTCCCCGCCGCTCCCCCCCTTCCTCTTTCCCCTCCCCTCCTTTTCCCAACTTACCTCTCCTCTCCCTCACACTTTCCTGTTCCCCTGTCATCTCTCTCCCAATTCAAAATCTCCCGATTTCCCTCCGTCTTTCATTGCCTCTATCTTCCCTCCACCTCCCTTAACTATCGTCCACACCCAGGCTCCTCCTGCCCTACCTGTCATCTCCAGCTCTCTTCACTCCTCGTTTTCCCATCCCTCATCCCCCTCCCTCATTGCCTTCCCTCAACCCCCCTCATCTACCTTTGCCCAGGCTCATCCTGCCCTACCTACGGTATATGACTCTGTCACTTGCCTTGGTGAATTGTCTTCGTGGCTTTGACTTGGCAACAGAGGAGGCGCAGCGACTCGTGTGATTTAGTTCATTGATCTGTTGGACAAGTCAGTAGAACACGTCCTGTATTGTGTGACTGCTGCCTGCTAGCCCATGTATTTATGTTCCATCTCAAAATAATCCGGATAACAATTCACTAGGTGGTGTGTTGTGATTTTCCTTCTACCGTACCTGTTGTGCTGTGCTCTGCTCCCGATGCTGATGCTGCTGCGGCTTCCTCTGCTGCTGCACGGCTCAACTCACTTAGAACCTCAGCTACTCGCCTTACCCTTTCTCTCCTTCCTTGCCTGCCTGTCTCCTCCCCTTGCAGCTTGCTTGCTCAAAGGCCCAACCGCATTGCAACACTAAAGCACTCTCACCTTCAAACCATGGCTCAGCTCAAGTCCCGCTCTCCCTCTCCTAACCCCTGCCCTCGTTCTGTGCCTATCCTTCCCATGCTCCGTCTTGTTCCCTGCTCGCAGCTTGCTCAAAGGGCCAACCGCATTGCATCACTCAAGCACTCTCTCCTTCACACCATGGCCCAGCTCAAGCCCCACTCTCCCTCTCCTGGGCCCGCCTTCTCCCTCCCTTCCCTCCACTTCCCCTCGCCCTCCCAACAACCCTCCACTCGCCTATCCCCGTCTCCGTGGCTCTCTCCCTCAGCTCGCCCTCTTGTCTCCACTTGCACTCTCCGTCTCCCAAGCATTCCCCCGTGCTTCCCTCACGTCCCGCCTCTCGTTCCCTCGCTTGGAGAGCCATCAACTAGGTGGTGCTTCCCCTTCATAAGGTGGGCGCACAGCGCAGTGTTTGTTTATAGCTACACTATTCTAACATGACGCCATGACAATGTTCTTTCAGATTCAACTAGTTTGCTCTTTCGTCGAGGGGCAATGACGGTACCAGTCTATAGTTCCATGATTATATTTCTCCACAGCAAACCAGTAGCTCATATTTCAGGGTACAAACATATTTTTGCACTGCACGGCTATACATAGCAGCGTGTGTTAAATACTCACAAGCCTCTTACCAATACCAGTCACACCTTCAAACTTGCATGCATCAATGCATCTCAGTGGCATTTGATGCGATTATGCGCACTCAAGTGCAGTGCGTCGCGAGTCTGATACGAGGGTCAGCCGACAAGAGGCTGTAGGAATGCGCCCTTGCCACACAGCCCCTCCTAGACCAAGTTTGCATAGTACTTTCCCCTTCTTCAATGTCAGCAATACCACGGCTTGTTTTATTCACTCCAGCCATGCTACACCAGACTCCACAAAACGTCACCGCTTGGTACCGTACATTCAAGAACACCCTCTCTGGTTCTTTTGGCGTTGACCTTCTGACTCCTCCAAAAAGGAATGCTTTCGTCGCCTCCCTGTAACGTTATCAGGAGACTCTGCAGCGGGGACAGGAGCATATGTGTTAGCAACAGCCGCAGCACCACTGCTAGCAGGTACATTTTGCTCTGCACCCTCTGCTGCTGCATGTGAATTCTCCCCTCCTGCACCCTCTGCTGCTGCAGGTGATACCTCCCCCCTTCCACCTTCTGCTGCTGCAGGTGCTGCCTTCACCCCTACGCCTTCTGCTCCTGATGCTGCTACTGTGTCATCTCTGGCTTCTGCTGCTCTCCTCTCCGCTGCTGATGCTCCTGCTGCTGCAACGGCAGAAGCAGCACCCAAGTGCCCATAACCTGCTGCAGGCACCGCCCCTACTCCTGCTGCTGACCTTACTCCTAATAGCTCTGCCCTTGCTGATGCTGCTGCTGCTTCCTCTGCTGCTGCACGCCTCGCCTCACTTAAAGCCTCAGCTATTGGATCTACTACAATTGGACTGCCCAGAGGCGCTCCGGGATCCCCTCCGCGGACAAACGGTCCCGTCACAAAGAAACCGTACCACGCCTCAAAAGCTGCACTATTTTCTGCCAAAATTATAAATAACCAAGATTCCTGACACCACAGTGCTGCGGTAATTTCACAGGTATGTACACATCAATTAATATCACAAGGTACAAGTAAATTGTTGCATCGTACTGTACAGCTCGACATGACACACCAGCATTTGCTATATACACATCGTCCCCCATTATCCATACCATTTTCGCCTACTCTCAACAGCCCTTCCTTGGTACTGATGGCTCCAGGTCACATCTCTTTCGCTAGCTGCTCTTCGCTCTTCTCCTTGCCACGTTTCGAACATTTCTTCAGTTTCTTCTGCCCTTGACCCGCCGACTTCTTCGTGACGACGCGCTTTCGCACCTTCTTAACAGCCCCCACCTCTACAACATCACCAGAAGACTCTGTAGAGGGAATAGGAGCACCAGTGGCAGCGCCAGCTGCAGCATCACCAGCAGCAGCTACGTCCCCTCCTGCACCCTCTGGTTCTGCTGCAGGTGCTACCTCCCCCGCAGCACTCTCTGCTACTACTGCAGGTGCTACCTCCCCTCCAGCACCCTCTGCTACTGCTGCAGGTACTGCCTCCCCCCCAGCACCCTCCGTTTCTGCAGGTGCTACCTCCCCCCCAATATCCTCCGTTGCTGCAGGTGCTGCCTCCCCCCCAGCGCCCTCCGTTTTTGCAGGTGCTACTTCCCCCCCAGCACCCTCTGTTGTTGCAGGTGCTACCTCCCCCCCAGAACCCTCTGCTACTGCTGCAGGTGCGACCTCCCCCCCAACACACTCTGCTCCTGCTATGAGTTCTTCTTTTACTTCCACTGTTGCTGCTGCTCCCGCTCCTCCTGCACTTGTGCTTGCTACATCTGCTGCTGCTGCCTCAACTGCTCCAGCAACCTTCAGCACCCCACAACTTCCTACACCCACCTCTTCTCGTCCTGCTGCTGAAGCCATTTCTGATTCCACTTTTTTTACTGCTACTGCTGCGGCCTCCTCTGCTGCTGCACCCACCACTCCCCCTTCAGCACCAGCTGCCACACCTTCCGGCTGTTCCTCCGCCATTGGCCCTCCCGCGGGTACACCGCTCTCCCCTCCACGAATGAATGGCCCTGCCACGAAAAATCCGAACCAGGCCTCGAACGCGGCACTCGTCTCCGCCTGTGTTTTAGTCATGCAGCTGCTGCCCGTGAAACTGCCCCAACCGCTGGGCAGCTCGACAGTGCTTGTGAAAATCGGGCAGTGAGACGGCCCATGCACACCTGTGGAGTAGGACGGCATGCGCCCTAACATGCGGCTGCAGTCCACCTGCAGCAGCAACTTCGCATGTACTTTCGCAATCTCTTTCGCCACAGCTGCGACGTGGGCGGCGTCTGCTGGTGGCTGCGCGTCCGGACAGGATAGGTTTCCTGAAATCGCATTCCTGAAGGCAGCGCGATATGCTAAGAGTTCGGCGTCTTTTTTTCGTAGACCAAGGACAGAAGTCGGCCCACTGGCCGATTCTTCCCTCGAGATCTGCTGCCAGCTTTCCAGCAACCCGCGGAAAGTTTTAGATCCGAAAGTGACTTGGAAGTCCCAAGTCAACAAATGAGGGGATCCTCTTGATCCCAAAGAGAGGCCTTGAGGCGGCGACACGTTGACCGCTGAAGCGAGATCTTGTAGGAGCTTAGAATACATGATTCTAAGAAGGTATTACCTTGTAATATGACTGACAACTTTTTCCAATCTCACGTTTGACGCCAAGTACAACGAAAATGAGGGATAAGAATCGATCAGAAAGGACTAGGCCCTGGCAATATGCGACGTCACGTCTCAAGTGGAGCCCCACCTCGCATTTTCTGGGTGAGAGAGACCGTGGTCGGCAGAACAGCGGGAGTTTTTTTCGATAAGATCTGCAGGAACCAGGCGCGGGAGATGCCGTTTGGTTCGTTCCTCTAGACGCCACAACGCAACGATCTACGGCGGCGAGGACTTTCTTCGACATTTTCCTAAATTAAGGCGGGAAATCCGAGCCGCTCGAGTTGTAACAGCTGTCCGTCCTACCTCGTCACTAACGCCAGGATGCGAAGGTTATTCTAGGAGCAGTTGCGATTTGTGCATGCAGGGTGACTTGTCAACTGGTTTGCTCTGCATGTGTAAAATGCTCGCTGTTGAAGGGGTGACTGGTTGATTGACTGGTCGATTGGGCGAGTAGGCGAAGAGGCGAGAGGGCGAAGAGGCGGGTTGGCGAAGAGGCGAGAGGGCGAAACTGCGGGTTGGCGAAAAGGCGAATCAGCGAAACCCAGCTTTTTTGCAGCGTAACCCGTCGCAAAAAAATATTCAGACCATCCAATCAAGATTTGATATGCAAACACAACCGTCGATTGGCTCGAGATACACAAACGCATCAAGGGTAGTGCATAGGCAAGAATGAAAGTGTAGACAAATGTATTTTCAATACGCAGATGTTTGAAGGGTATGGTCTGCAGGAACCTTCAATGCCCGCTGAGCGTATCAAGGGTTTCGGGTTTAGGGTTTAGGGTTTAGGGTGCAATGAGGCTGATTGGAATACTGGTAGGTCCGTGGTGCTGATATACACCTGTCCCTCGCCTAGTGTACTTCAATCCCTGCCAATTTCAGCCCCTTTGTCCTCACGCAGGGCTTCAGGGTGAATGCGGCTCGACAAGGTGGGGTGTATGACGCGTCAGTTGCACATTGTGCCCCACTTACTTTACACCCTGACGAGCTGACGCGTCAGGTTGCCAAGCTGAAATTCGGATGGTGAAGTGTACCCAGCACACATTTCGTGAGGTGTTGATAGGGCGAAATCCAAACCCTGAGGGTGAAGTCGACGTGGCATAAATTTCCAGCCCCAATGCTTTGCGCCACTGAATCCCAGTCAGCAGCGCATGTCCAGGCTGACTCAGCCTGAAAATATCATGGGGGAACTGCTTTGTTCCCTCCAATTTCAACAAGGGGCAAAACGACAAACCCTTGCTCCCGCTGCGCGGATGTTGAAATTGGCGAGGGACAGGTGTACCAGTAGTGGTGGTGCTGTGCTGATCCCTGTATCAACCCTGGGAATTGTAAGACAATATTCTAGAGAGTGATTTGTAAGACAATATTATTTTTTAATTTTGTCAGCATATTTTAGCAATCATCAACACAACAGCAGGTCCATTCTAGCACTACGCAGACGGGAGCCTACTGGCGCAGCTCCTCCCTGACGTAGTCAGCATCAGCGGTAACCGCAATGTCCATGGAGGGGCGCAGAGAGGCACAACCGGCGAGGGCATCGTGCACGAGGTCGCTCTTGAAGGCCGCGATGATGGATGCATCGACGGGCGTGTTGTTGTCCACTGCCACGAACGCCCGAATGGGACAAGGGGGGTGACAAAGGAGTAGAGGGGAGGGAGTTAGAGGGGGAGTTAGAGGGCATCGAGCACATGGTCGCTCTTGAAGGCCGCAATGATTGATGCATCGACAGGGGTGTTGTTGTCCACTGCCACAAACGCCTGGAGGGGACAAGGGGGATGGCAAAGGCGTGGAGAGGGAATTAAAGTTGTCGCCTACATACCTCCTGCGGGAGGACCTGGTTTATCACTTGAAAACCAGGTAGCACAGGGCTTCGCTCCATCCTTGGGTGGCGAGGTGCAGTTACTGCTTTCTGACAACCCAACCCCTCCTCTGAAAGTTGGCCTGCTCAGGATTGGCTTACAAATTTCACGCCAAACTACCCCCCAACCTCGATTGGTTGCAGGTTGTGGCGAAATCGCCACCACAACCCCAACCTCACGAAAAAAGTACCCCCCCAACCAAACCTTGCACGAAACTGGCGGGATTCGCCAGTTGTGTTTGAATCCTTCGCGCTCTCATTTCTGGAAAGGGATCATTTCGTGTGCAAATCAGACTGCGTCTTAGGGTGTGCACCCGAAATACCCCCAGAAAATACCCTTTGGTATGTAGACCGCAGCTTTAAAGGGCATAGTGCACGGGGTCGCTCTTAAAAGCAGAAATGATGGATGCATCGACAGGGGTGTTGTTGTCCACTGCCACGAATGCCTGGGGGAGGGGGAGAAGAGGGAAGACAAGGGGCAAGACAAAGGAGTGAGGAGTAAGAGGGAGTGAGAGGGAGTGATGATGGATGCATCGACAGGCGTGTTGTTGTCCACTGCCACGAATGCCTGACATGGTGAAGGAAAGGGGCAAGGACAAGACATGGGCATGCAACACGAGAAGGGTGTGAGAATGGGGCACGTCAGACACAACACAACCCGCCAGGGCATCGTGCACGGGGTCGCTCTTGAATGCCGCGATGATGGATGCATCAACGAGCGTTTTGTTGTCCACTGCCAAGAATGCCTGGGGGAGCAAGGGCAAGAGGGAGTGTGGATGAGGAGGGTGTGAGAATGAGGTGAGACACAGCCGGCCAGGGCTTGGTGCGCTTGGTCACTCTTGAATGCTCAATGATGGATGCATTGCATATGGTGTTGTTGCCCACTTCCATGGATGCGTGGTGGGGAGAACGGGGATGATCAGGGAGTGAGGAGCGTAGACAGAGTGGGAGCAGTTGTCGACCATGAATGAATGTGGCACAGTGTGCATGCATGAAGGGAAGGTTGTGGAGCTACCGATTCGTTTGCTCTGCATGTGAAAATGCTCAGTGTGAAGGGGGGTGACTGGTTGATTGACTGGTCAATTCGGTGAACAGGCGAAGAGGCGAGAGTGCGAAGAGTTAGGTTGGGGAAGAGGCGAATCAGCGAATGGGCGAACAGCTCGAACACGAATTAGCGAGAATTTTCGTGGCCCATCAGACGGAAGAAAAACGCTCGGAACGAGGGCTTCCAACCCCAAAACGCGGAAGAATCCGAACATGTGCAGGAAGTGCAGCGGGCGCTCTTCATTCGCGAGCACCGATGACCGATGATGCTCCCAAACCTCCCACGCCCTTGCTGGCTTGGTCATAGGACCAGACAAGCGCAGCCACGTGATCCGGTGGAAGAAAAATGCTCGAAACGAGCGCTTCCACCCCCAAAACGCGGAAGGATCCGCACATGTGCAGGAAGTGCAGTGGGCGCTCTTCATTTGCGAGCGCCGATGACCGATGATGCTCGCAACCCTCCCACGCCCTTGCTGGCTTGGTAATAGGCCCAGAAAAGCGCATCCACGTGACCCAGTGGAAGAAAAACGCTCGGAAAGAGCACTTCCACCCTAAAAACGCGGAAGCTTCCGCACATGTGCAGGAAGTGTTGCGGACGCTCTTCATTCGCGAGCGCCGATGACCGATGATGCTTGCAACCCTCCCACGCCCCCTTGCTGGCTTGGTAATAGGTACAGAGAAGCGTAGCCACGTGACCCGAGGGAAGAATAATGCTCAAAACGAGCGCTTCCAGCCCCAAAACGCGGAGAGATCCGCACACGTGCAGGAAGTGCAGCGGACGCTCTTCATTCGCGAGCGCCGATGATATGATGCTCGCAACCCTCCCACGCCCTACCGGGCTTGGTAATAGGCCCAGACAAGCGCAGCAACGTGACGCAAAGGGAAGAAAAACGCTCGGAACGAGCGCTTCCACCCCCAAAACGCGGAAGGATCTGCACATGTGCAGGAAGTGCAGCAGGTGCTCTTCATTCACGAGCGCCAATGACCGATGATGCTCGCAACCCTCCCACCCCTTGCTGGATTGGTAATGGGCCCAGACAAGCGTAGCCACATGACCCGGGGGAAGAAAAACGCTTGGAACGAGCGCTTCCAGCCCCAAAACGCGGAAGGATCCGAAAACGTGCAGGAACTGCAGCGGACGCTCTTCATTCGCGAGCTCCGATGACCGATGATGCTTGCAACCCTCCCACGCCCTTGCTGGCTTGGTAATAGGACCAGACAAGCGCAGCCACGTAACCCGGCGGAAGAAAAACGCCCGAAACGAACGCTTCCAGCCGCAAAACGCGGAAGGATCCGCACACGTGCAGGAACTGCAGCGGACGCTTTTCATTCGCGAGCGCCGATGACCGATGATGCCCTTGCTTGCTTAGTAATAAGACCAGACAAGCACAATGACGTGACCCGGCGTAAGAAAAACACTCGAAACGAGCGCTTTTAGCCCCAAAACGCGGAAGGATCCGCACACGTGCAGGAGTGCAACGGACGCTCTTCATTCGCGAGCGCCGATGATCGATGATGCTCTCAACCCTTTCACGCCCTTGCTGGCTTGGTAATAGGACCAGACAAGCGCAGCGACGTGACCCGGCGGAAGAAAAACGCTCGAAACGAGCGCTTCCAGCCCTAAAACGCGGAAGGATCCGCAAACGTGCAGGAAGTGCAGCGGTCGCTCTTCATTCGCGAGCGCCTATGACCGTTGATGCTCGCAACCCTCCCACGCCCTTGCTGGCTTGGTAATAGGCCCAGACAAGCACAGCCACGTGACCCCGCGGAAGAAAAACGCTCGGAACGAGCACTTCCACCCCCAAAATGCGGAAGGATCCGCACATGTGCAGGAAGTGCAGCGGGCGCTCTTCATTCGCGAGCGCCGATGGCCGATGATGCTCGCAACCCTCCAACGCCCTTGCTGGCTTAGTACAAGGCCCAGACAAGCGCAGCCATGTGACATGGCGGAAGAAAAACGCTCGGAACGAGCGCGTCCACACCCAAAACGCGCAAGGATCCGCACATGTGCAGGACGTGCAGCGGGCGCTCTTCATTCACGAGCGCCGATGACCGATGATGCTCGCAACCCTCCCACGCCCTTACTAGCTTGGTAATAGACCCAGACAAGCGCAGCCACGTGACCCGATGGAAGAAAAACGCTCGGAACGAGCGCTCTCAGCCCCAAAGCGCGGAAGGATCCGCACATGTGTAGGAAGTGCGGCGGGCGGTCTTCATTCGCGAGCGCCGATGACCGATGATGCTTGCAACCCTCCCACGCCCTTGCTGGCTTGGATATAGGCTCGGACAAGCGCATCCACGTGATCCGGTAGAAGAAAAACGCTCGGAACGAACGCTTCCACCCCCAAAACGCGGAAGGATCCGCACATGTGCAGAAAGTGTTGCGGGCGCTCTTCTTTCGCGAGCGCCGATGACTGATGATGCTCGCAACCCTCCCACGCCCTTGCTGGCTTGGTAATAGGCCCGGACAAGCGCAGCCACGTGACCTGATGGAAGAAAAACGCTCGAAACGAGCGCTTCCACCCCCAAAACGCGGAAGGATCCGCACAGGTGCAGGAAGGGTTGCGGACGCTCTTTATTCGCGAGCGCCAATGACCGATGATGCTCGCAACCCTCCCATGCCCTTGCTGGCTTGGTAATAGGACCAGACAAGCGCAGCGACGTCACCCGGCGGAAGAAAAAAGCTCGAAACGAGCGCTTCCAGCCCCAAAACGCGGAAGGATCCGCACACGTGCAGGAAGTGCAGCGGACGCTCTTCATTCGCGAGCGCCGATGATCGATGATGCTCTCAACCGTTTCACGCCCTTGCTGGCTTGGTAATAGGACCAAACAAGCGCAGCCACGTGACCCGGCGGAAGAAAAACGCTCGAAATGAGCGCTTCCAGCCCCAAAACGCGGAAGGATCCGCACACGTAGAGGAAGTGCAGCGGACGCTCTTAATTCGCGAGCGCCGATGACCGATAATGCTCGCAACCCTCCCACGCCCTTTCTGGCTTGGTAATAGGACCAAACAAGCGCAGCTACGTGACCCGGCGGAAGAAAAACGCTCGGAACGAGCGCTTCCAGCCCCAAAACGCGGAAGGATCCGCACACGTGCAGGAAGTGTCTGAACTATATTGTAGGCTGTAGTGGGGTAGACAATATGGGGTACAACACTTTTAGGTCTTCATTACTTGTACCCACCTCTTTGCTAGTTCATTCATTCCTCATACTTTTCTCACATGGTATAGAGCGGGTTCCCTAGTGGGACCGTTTTTTTTAGGGCCCACCACTTTTTTTTTTCCTACCCTGCCCGAAGCGCGCTCCTGTCCCTGTCTGCCTTGTCGCGTGCCTCGCGCCTGCCTCACCTGCGCCCCGTGCGCCTACCCTACCGTCGCGGCCCTGCCTGAAGCAGTCGCGGCCCTGCCGTCGCGGCCCCTGCCATCGCGGCCCTGTCTGCAGCCGTCGCGACCCTGCCCTGCCGTCGCGTCCCTGCCGCCCTGCCATCGCGGCCCTGCTGCCCTGCCGTCGCGGCCCTCCCTGAAGCCGTCACGGCCCTGCCCTGCCATCGCGGCCATGCCGCCCTGCCATCGCGACCCTGCCGCCCTGCCGTCGCGGCCTTGCTTGGAGCCGTCGCGGCCCTGCCTGGCGCCGTCGCGGCCCTGCCTGACGCCGTCGCGGCCCTACCTGAAGCCGTCGCGGCCCTGCCCTGCCGCCGTCGCGGCCCTGCCTGCCGCTGCCGCGGCCCTTCCTACAGCCGCAGTCGCGGCCGTGCCTACCGCCGCTGTTGCGGCCCTGCCTACAGCCGTCGTCGTTGCGGCTCTACCCTGCGCCCGCGTCGCCGCCCTGCCTGACGCGGCCCTGACCTGCCGGTGCGCCACGGCCCTGCCCTTCCAAATGCGGCCCTACCCCGATCCCGCCCTGGTAAGCGCACCGCCGCACCCGCGCCGCCCTGCCGAGCCGCGCAGCCTTGCGAAGCCGCGCCGCCCTGCCGAGTCGCGCTGCTCCTGCTGCTGCTGCTGCTACTGCTACTGCTACTGCTACTGCTACTGCCGTCATGGCTAGCCCTAATGTCCTTACCTTCGATGCTGAGGGTCGAGCAGTTGATTTCGAGGTCTGGGTCGATGATCTGCAGATTTTCCTGCAGTGCGACTCGAGGGACGGAGTCTCACTGTTCGATCACATGTCTAGCATCTCTGTTGCACCTGCTGCCGATGCTGACAGTGCAGTTCGCTCATAGTGGACCACGCGCGATGCTGCTGCCCGTCTTGCTATCCGTAGTCACCTGCCGTCTGCTGAGCGCGCGCACTTTAGCCAGTACAAGACTGCTCAGACTCTGTGCAACGCTGTTGTTGCACGCTACTCCTCCCCTGCCACTGCTGCCCTTAGCCGCCTCATGCTGCCGTACCTGTTCCCTTACCTTTCACTTTTGCCATAGTCGCTGACCTCATTACGCACCTCCGCACTAGTGATACCCGCTACCGCGCTGCGCTTCCTGCCGAGTTTTGCGCCAAGAACCCCCCCCCTATGTACATCACTCTCTACTACCTCGTCACCCGGCTCCCTGACTCCCTTCGCTCGGTCAGGGACCACTTCCTCTCCCTTTGCCCCACCACGCTCACCGTTGACCTCCTCGAGGAGCGCCTC